TGACAGTACGTACTGAAAGAGATGAAGTACCTACTTACTGACCGTTAAAACAGTAGGTACTGTATAGTATGAAGCCTGGTAGTATGAATGAGATTCGGACGTACTACATCCGCCATGTTGATACATCACGTGACATACGTTTTCATAGCAGCGTCTTCTTCGTTGGATAACTCCTCTCCCGGGGCATCATGGGATAGTGAAGTGTCCATCGTATGCACACTGCAAAATCCAACCGGAAGCAGTAGGTCATCCGGGTACTTTTCGCCTACTGTTTTTGGAATACTACGAATCCGGACATACTACTCGCCTCGCCTACTGCTTTTCGCCTACTATACAGTATGGTAGTAGGCGGTTTCGGACGCAGCCGTTTTGTCGCCCTAGCTCTGTTCCAGTCTTTAGCTCCATTGTTTCATTCCTCCTCGCCTCTGTCGTTTCTCCGGACCACGGACCTCCTCTACCCGGCTCCTTCTCCACCACGCAGGTCGATGCACAGTCTCCTACTAACTGTATGTACAAACTCTGTTCTTCCTCAGTACTTTCCACCACGACCAGCCCAGGAGTGAGTCCCAGCGTCCGCAGCCCGGTCTTCTCCTCATCATTCAGCCACTGACTGTATTCACTTCTGCAGCTCGACACCCGGTCCCACTTCTACCTGATTATTCATTTCCTTGTTATATTTCACTGTAATTAAACTTAGCACTGCTTGCACTGAAGTCAGCCACCTGGGTCCGTCATATTTGTGTGACTCGCTCACCCCTGTGTTCGAGCTGATCTAACATGATTATACCTCAAGGCCACCTGCTGGGCGCCATCCGGCAACGATCAGGCTCAATAGCAAATCAATATAGCATAAACTTATTATAGCCCATATTGACCTTATCAATATGAAGATAAAGATCAGTGTTTAAAATATGGTTAACCATAAAAGAGCAGGGTTAATCACCTTTAGCTTGTCTTTCTGTATAAAGGGCAGAAAAGGAAACACTGAAGGGTCCCTCCCTGCCCACAACCCTCCTCAGCAGATACTGTCAGATGAGAGCAGAACAGGGCTGAGCCAAAGTGGTTAGTGGAGCAGAAAGATGAACAGAAGAAGTGAGGGAGAGCGAATGCAATGCAAAAATGCTCACATCAAACCCACAAAACAAGCATGAATATCTCAATATTTAAGAAAATTAAATTAAAAAAATATGATTGTCATAAGAATGAAAAATGATCTTGGTGGTTTTCTAAAAATTTCCAAGGGGCAAAAAAACGTATTTCTCAAATAACATCTGTTTTTGCAGTGTGGCATTCCAATGTGTGGCCAAGAAAGTGAGCGTAACAAGGCTGGGGCAAGTGGGGCAAAAGGAAACAGCAGAAAAGAGCTAAGCAAAGGGGGTACATTTTCATGTAGTGTGGGGATTAGGGCCACGACACCAAGTGAAACATAACTAAAAACTACAAAAGCCAGTTAATAGTGCACAGAGAGAAAGGAAAGCTGGTGTTACACCGTCATACACACACAAACACACACACACCGGCCACTTGGGAGTGATACAGGGTTGTTTTTGTTCGAGAGAGTGAGGACATAAGGTTTGGGTGAGGAAAAAAGCGGGTTAAAGGAAAGAGTCAAGCATGGAAGAAAATAGAAACATCAGATCGAGAGAAACACAAATGAGGACACAATTACAGAGAGAGACAGGGAAAACATGTTAAAGCTCTAGCAAGTGTGTGCAAATTCACATACTGTAAGCATACAACCAGTGCAGCCCCTTATGTCAACATGTGGTTTTGAAATTGTGACAATGAATGAAAAAAAAGTTCAACACTGGACCCTGAGAAATCCTCCATTACAGAGCACGGGGTTTTTGAAAGTGCAGTGATAGAGAAGGGTGTGTCTGTGTGACGAGACCCATCTGCTCAATAGTATCCAGATCTGTTGATTAGGGGTAAAACATCTTTGAGTAGCCTGGTTCATGATATTATAGATGAAGCAATTGTTGAGGCCAACTCAGAGAGATCTATGTAGTCGAAATAAAAATGAGGTCTTACAGATGTTTCTAAAGCCATTGTACTTGATGACACATCGGTGAGACTTGTGGGAAGGATCTGATTAATTTTTTCTCTAATAGTTGTGATTTTATTTGTAAAGAAGCTTATGAAGTAGTTACTGCTGAGATCTAAGGGAATGTTAAGCTCAACAGCACTGTGGCTCTTTGTCAGCCTGGCTACAGCGCTGAAAAGAAATTAAAGAGAAAAAATATCTATTTTCTTCCTAAAATATATCAGTTTAGTTTCATCTCAGTGTCTAACAGATGTTTGTATAGTGGTCGTGACACTTGTAACGTTACAGTTGGACTGTGACACATTTCAGCTCAGGTTTTCATAGTCCCACCCAGTTCACCACACACTGACTTGCAGAGAACAGAGGAAATGAGCCGAGCAAAAACCTCCTGGCACACAAGAGCAGCTCATTATAGCTGACATGAAATACGTATAGACTTCCTGTGTATACAAATTCAGATATCTGAATTAAGCTTTTCTAGAGACATTTGAGAAGAAGGAAAATTGAGACAACATGGGAGCCTCTTCTTCTGGCCTGTTGGATGAGGCTAAAATCAGCCACATTAAAGGTAAAGCGGTTCTCTTTTATTCTCAAAACATTCTTCTTAGTAATTTGCAGTTCTTTCCACTTCTTTCTTACACCTCTTCATACAATTGACTTGGGTGGGTTATATCTCAGCCCTATGTAAATATATGTTTTACATAGAGAAGCAGCTGAACCGAGAAGAAAGAATGAGGAAAGTAAAATTAGAGAAACAATAGAAGCTGTCAGGCTTGTAGTGGCAGTGTGGACACAGAAGTAGAGAAGTAGTTGTGTCAGTACCAGTAAATAGTGTAGTAACGGTAGTGGTTGCAGTATTATTGCGTACATTAGTTGTATAGTGGTAAATAAAATGGCTGTTTCCCTTTGAGTCTGGTAATACACCTTCTCTCACATGCAGTACCAGTACGATTGTCATATACTTCTTTTAGCTGCTCAGTTAATCGCAATTGAACTGTGATTTTATACTCTTTATATGTTAGATCGGCTCGAACACAGAGGTGAGCGAGTCACACAAATATGACGGACCCAGGTGGCTGACTTCAGTGCAAGCAGTGCTAAGTTTAATTACAGTGAAATATAACAAGGAAATGAATAATCAGGTAGAAGTGGGACCGGGTGTCGAGCTGCAGAAGTGAATACAGTCAGTGGCTGAATGATGAGGAGAAGACCGGGCTGCGGACGCTGGGACTCACTCCTGGGCTGGTCGTGGTGGAAAGTACTGAGGAAGAACAGAGTTTGTACATACAGTTAGTAGGAGACTGTGAATCGACCTGCGTGGTGGAGAAGGAGCCGGGTAGAGGAGGTCCGTGGTCCGGAGAAGCGACAGAGGCGAGGAGGAATGAAACAATGGAGCTAAAGACTGGAACAGAGCTAGGGCGACAAAACGTGAAGATACTATACAGTAAAAGAGAACAGGAAACAAACGGGCCTGATAACGCTAGAAAGAACTGGCAGGGGAGTGAACGTAGAGCAGGGAATAAATAGGGAGAACTAATCAGGTGCAGCTGGTGGTAATCAGGGGATATGAAGCAGGTGTGTCGGATAACGTCATCAAGGTGAGGGAGCAAAAACAGAGTGAGGGGAGTGAGAAGGCAGGTGCAGCCAGGCAAACCTGACAGTTTATGATGTAATGTAATGAAGGAGTTCAGTGGTGGTATTGTTGGAACGTGTTTGCATATATTGGTTTTTATGAAATACCTTTCAGCAAAGAGTTATACAGGAAACATGGGGCAACATATACCAAAGGTCCCTGAACCAAACGATGGCCATCGTGGTTAAATAATTAACTTACCTTAATCACCAGGCCACCAGGATGACTAGCATAACTTTTTTAATGGGCTGGTGACATGAAAAAAAGAAAACATTTTATTTTTTTTGTGTAATAAATCATTTTGGTATTTCAATCATGTCATAAGTTTTAATTTTACCATCAAATGAACAGAAATAAATGAAACAAAACAATGCCTAGCATGAGGCTCATTTCTATAGTACTAAGTCTTATCAGCACAGTGACATCCTGTCACTGCAACACTGCAAACTAAAATGTAATTACAGTCATCTCCAGCATTATTATGGGTTGTCTCTTTGTGTGTATGCTTTTTAAATAAATAGCACCTGTGAGTTTATTCATTCAGTTATTACTGTAAATTCAGAATTATATCTTTTTAAATGAGCCAGGCAAAAAAGGTATACATACATTATGACATCAATTTTTAAATGAAGATTTGTGTGTGTGTATCCAGGACTTGTTGACAGCACACTCCAGAGCTACAGTGAGTTTTACACTCGGCAGTACTCGGCAGCCTACTTCGGACACTTATACCAGGAGATGGAGCCTAAGAAAGAGGGGACGGGCCTGTTGCTTACACACAGGGTAGGAGTTGAACACCAACACTGGATTTCTCTGACTGCCAGAGCTAATCTGTGTACACTTTTTATATCAATACAAATTAAATCTTTGTGTGTGTGTGTGTGTGTGTGTGTATAGTCTCAGTATGATCCAGAGGAGATACTGTACCAAGGGAATGTTAAGGTCTCCTGCTCGGATGAGCAGGGAAAGAAATGCAGAGAGCGATACACTGTTCTGAGAAGAAACTACAAAGTGGAGTTACATGACAACATGGAGGTACCATACACGCTTTTACACACTAAACATATACATGCATCTATGTGTGTATATATACAGTATGTGTGTGTGTGTGTCTATTCATACACATGCACACATACACAAGTCAGACACAAACTCACCCATATACTGTACTGTTTTCCTAAGTTCCTCACTGTTACAACAGCTTAAACATCTTATTACTTGTGGATAAAACCTGTCACTGAGTTGGACACTTCCTCTTTTTGACTGTCCTGATGGCTCTCTCACCTCCACCCTATGGATTATAGATGAGATCACTCAATGTTGATTTGATTTGATTTGATTTGATTTATTCTTTCAAGCATGTAAAGACAGTTGATATGTCAACACACATAATTTTACACATATCCAACAAATAATAATCCAATATCAATTTGCTTATACCTAGTACATGCTTGAATGGAGTAGGAAGAAGTTAGACTTATCCAGTCCCCCCATGACATCATCTTACCATCATTGGTTTGCAAACAGTATCTCTACATAAATAATTCTCTTCTACACCACACAAGTAATATACTAAAAAAATTATAACAGTGTTAACATTCTTACATAATTACATTCTTAGAAAATTGTCTTCTACACCACACAAGTAATATACTAAAGAATTATTACAGAGTATTACCTTTATACACCACACCCACAATGCTCCATCTAATTAATCATTAAGCCTGTTCTTGCATATATTTTGATTGACACATACCTTTATATTTATGTTTAAACACGTCAAATCTGTTGTGTCATCTGCAAATTCTGTTTGGTTGTTATGACATTTGGAGAGACAATAAACTATAGAGGTTAAGGCAGCATCCATGTGGAGTATATGCATTCAGAATTTGAGTAGAAGATGCCATTCCTCCCAACCTCACTGTTTAGGATCTGCCAGAATACACCCAAGTACAGACGGAATGACCAAGGGCCACATCTCTGAGTTGAAATATCACATTTTGGTATGAGTGGATTATGTCCTCCTCTGACAACATATTAACATTACATAGATACATATGTTCATGTACATATGACATTTAAAAAATGCAGTAATGCACAGTAAACATAGTAAATACAGTAGGCACTATGCTACTTCTTCTACTTTGTCTCTTGTAAATAACATAACTTGCCTTGGTTGTATACTAATAATTGAGTTATATATTATTCTGTCATTCCTTGTTGTTCCACCACTAAAGATGTTCATGTGTGCATCACATGGGAGCCTGTATCTGTAATGAATGATGGAAGCAGGTACATTATCACATATACTGTATATATGTGATGACTATTCTTTCAAAGTACTTCATTATTGCTGATGACAGAGCACTTGGCCTACAACCATTAAGGTGTGTCACTGGTGTTTTTTGAGTACATGCACAATTCCAGTTCTTTTAAAGCAGAGTAGAATATAAGAATAAGTGTCAGTGATGGATAAAATATCAGTAAAAACTGAGCAGAACTGAATTCAGGAGGCTTTGAGACTTGAGGTGGAATGCCACAGGGGGACTGCAGCTTTTTGAACTTTGACCTATCTAAAAGACTTATCTACTTCATCTTTGGTCACACTTGTCTGTGTTTCCACATGTAGAATTTCAATCGTGGATGTGCAGCTAAGTTAGTCCTCCAGCCAGCTGGGGGCAGTGTTCTGACCACAGAGGAGGAGTCCAGAGCTCACCAGGAGCAAACCTGTGCTGGAATGCTCAATGGTAGTATTAATTTATTCCTACTGTATATACCTGCAATATTAAGCAATTGTGTTAATACTGATGACTGAAGAACAATCTGGATAAAGCTGTGATAATTAATGTTACTCTTCATTCACATATGTGCCCTAGCGACTTCTGCACAGGACTAAACCTAAAACCTGTACCTGTGTCTTTAAGATCTGGGCCAAGTGATTCTGAATGGTAGTTTCAAATTTGAGACCTGAACCTGACCCAATACCCAAAGTTAATTTTGCTTGATTTGATCCATTACTGAGAATTAACATCCCAGTGCTGGTCAAACTCTGCCTCTCGCCAATTGTTTTTATGCTGGTGAAAACAACTGGCATAGTCAGAAAGAAAATGACAGAAATTTTTAATAACCTACATCTACAATGAACCAAGCCCAATATCTGCAATGAAACTCCCACCTGACTCAAATCCAACAGGTCCCTCTGAAGTATCAGAGTATCATTTTGCATCCAGTTTGGGCCATTTGATTGTGTTATACTGTTAGGGTTACACCAGGCATTACCACTCAAGTTTAGTCAGGGTCAGTCAGGTTGTAAAGGGTTAGGCCTATACAGAACTGTTCCTGAAACTGAAGACTCTACTGGTACCTGGCTGTAAGGTTCAGGTAATGTAAAAGACTTCCAATGTGTTTGTACACTCGTCTGTGCAGAGGGCTTGGGCTATCTTTGCACTCACATTCTGTCTTGGTGATGACTTTTCAAGTCATCCAAAATATTTATGTGATTTCAAGTAACATTACACTGATGCCAAGAGTGCGGCCAGGCCTGAAGGTGTAAACCACAACATCCTGTGTTTTAAGATGAACAAGGGTGCTAGACGGCAGATGTGACTATGCCACTAGAAAAATGCTTCCCATTTTCCTTGGCTTTCTCTTCTCGTAACTAAACCTTTAGTTTCCTGAACATTATAAAGGTATTGTCTTACCATCAGAAAATGCTCATAAGGGTTGCTTTAGCAGACTCTGACAAATAACCTTTTTGTCATGTTTTTAAGATTTGCTAGCACTGATTAACATAATGTAAACTGTACTGCTGAACATAAACTAAGTCATGGTTCTGAAACAATACAGTCAAGCCCACATGTGTAACACCACCATCTTTGTTTGTCTTTATTTAGGAGTGAAGGATGACTCTTCTTCAGTGGTATCATCTCCAGATGTTTTTGCTGTGTATCTGCACCTGCCTTACACAGGCCATACCTGCTTCCTGTTCCAACAAGAAAGGGAACGAGACCGATTCCTATCTGCCCTTGAGACCTGCATTAGACATCAGAACCTTGGTAAAACACTGACGTGCACCTTTTCTCTGTGGTCTAATTTTACACTCACTGCTGCCTCCTGCTTTTGTACACAACCTGTTCAGACTATGAATAGACTGTGAAATGACAGTGACTTTGTAATGGTAGAATCCAGCTTGACAGTACTGTCCCACAATGCCAAAAGTGCCATTTGCAAAAAAAGAAAAAGAAAACACATCTCTCCTACCCAAAAGAAGAAATTGTTCCAACATTTTCAGAAACTCAACAATTCGCTATCTTTCTAAAGCTACATTCACATTACTTGCTAGGGAGGCAACAGTGGTGCAGTGAGTAGAGCAGTCGCTTCCAGGTTGAAGGTTCAAATCTCGGTGCCTGCAGTACACTTGTTGAAATGTCCTTGGGCAAGATGCTGATTCTCCCCCCCCGGTTGCCTGTGATGGCAGCGACCCTTGGCTCCAAATGTAATTTCATTGTACGTGTCACGATAAATAAAGCTTCCTAATCTCTTCTAAAGTGGCTATTCAGGTGACTCAGATCTGGTCTTTTCATGGACCAAACCAAATCAGATTTTTTTTCATATCAGATCTGGCCCACTTCCAAATGTGATCCAAATCATATCTGATCTCTGACTATGTGATGGCTGTGACAACAGTCAGATCACGGTCTTTGAGGGAATTGCTTGATTTGACAGTCACACAAATGACATTGTTATTCCTTTGAGTAAGTAGATCACATTTCAAGCAACCACCCTCCCACTACTCAAGTGGTGGGGGGCAGTTTAAGACCTCAGAGAGGTTCAAATCGGAACTGCCAAAATGGTATTTGAGTCATAACCACCCTCCCACTACTGAAGTGGTGGGGGGCTTTTAATGGTTCCGATAGGTTTTGTCACTTTGGCAATTCTGTAATGTCAGATGAGGGTGTAAAACCTTTAAACTTAGCACAGCAGAGTGCTCTTGATCTTGGATCTATTTCAGCTTGTCACTCATAGTGGCAGTTGCCCTGGTGACAGCTAAATATTAATGCTGTTGGCTTCCTGTGTGGGTTAGCTTGGCTACAAACCAAAAGCAAACCCTTAACTTTAAGTTACAGGGTTGCAAAAAGACAGCGTAGCTACACAACCTCCAACATAACAGGAAGCAACACACAGCTGGCCAGCAGTGACTATTTCGCTTTACATGCTTGGAGGAGGCACAGTACAAAACAGTGTTGGTCTTGAAAATACCAAAGTTTTATATTACTCTTTTTTCCACTTTACTTTTGTTAATTGTTTTAAATTTAAATTCTTTGGTTGAATGAACTGGTGATGGCTGCCTCTGTTGTCAGCAGAAACAAGACTCCTTTAGAAGAAAGCAAGAAACCAGACTAGTTGGACCAGACTAGTTATGATCTTACTGGATAAAATTGAAAGTAAAAAGGGACAGCAAACATTTCAGAAGAGGCATGATCGAAGCTCACTGATTCATTTACCGCTTTTAATGGTGCAAGCAAATTAGTCCAATGTTTCAACACTCTAGCTGTGCTTCTTCTGAAGTGAATATTTGCCTGTAGCAAAGCAGTCAGAAACAGAAACATGACTATAAGCACATCCTGATGTGACTTAGTCTGCTAAATGTGTAACTAGGCAGTTGTTTCCCAACTAGTTTCCAGAAGACTGTGCAGAGTTTTGCAGGGACAGGAGGTCAAATTTAATAAAAAGGTATCTATCAGTAGGGAGCTATGCTATTTTCTAATATTGCAATTATTAATAATAAATAGATATAGGTATTATTTAACAGTCTGCCACTCCAATCCAAAGCACGACTCAATGCCGTGAGGTGACAGCTAAATAACCACAGGGTCCCATGTGTTTATTCAGTATCTGATTTGACTCATTAAGTACTTTGACTCATTGGTGTTTGAAAAATAATACGTTACAACTGAAACTTCAAATTTACATTGTAATGATGTCACCACACTGACTGAATTTGTGTATGTTTGTGCGTCTCTGTAGGCACTGACTCTCCAGCAGTTTTTCAGCTCACTGCTTTCAGAGTGGTACACTGGAGAGATGACCCTGGTCACCTTCCTGGCAGCAAACTCCATGGACCGGTTTGTTTCTACAGTTGGCCTTCGGGGCTCCCAGCTCCGTCTGCTCAGGAAGAACTGGGGTCAGTATAGTTGGAGGAGCAATTGAATTAATTTTTTTTTTTTTTGTATAGCACCAAGGGTGAGTAGATAGAGGAGAGAGAAAAGAAAAGAAGCAACAAGACAACAACAAACAATCAAACACTGGGCAGGTTGATGTGGCCGGTGACGGCTCGTAAGAGATGTAGAGCTCCAGAGCCAGGGCAACCTGCAGAAAGGGACAGGGATGGATTAACTGGAGGCTTTTTAGGGAATTATTGGGACATCCTGATAGTAAAGAGTTACAGTAGTTCAGCCTGGAAGTAACAAATGCATGGACCAGTTTTTCAGCATCACTTTGAGACAGGATGCTCCTGATTTTTGTGATATTGTGCAGGTGAAAGAAGGCAGTTCTAGAGACTTTATTTGTGATTTAAAGGACATATTCTGATCAAAGATGACTCCAAGGTTCCTCACAGTAGTACTGGAGGCAAGCGCTATGTCATCTAGATTAACTATATGATTAGACAGCAGATTTCTAACATTTTCAGGCCCAAGTACAATAACTTCAGTTTTGTCAGAGTTTAGAAGTAAGAAATTACAGGTCATCCAGGCCTTTATGTCTTCTTTTTATGTGAATGGTCTTTTCAGAATAGGATACTGATGAGATATTGTTAAAATGTGTTTACTGTCAACTCATTTGTAATTTTCTACATCTTACAGTATTCCAGATATTCCACCTTTTTAACCCTGCCCACTCTAGCAGTCCAGGGAATTGGACCAGACAGAACACACTATTGAAATAAAACCTACAAAAATCCAGTTTAAGAAGGTCACAAAACAACATATTTGGTATATTTAGCTTACAAAGTTTACCATATAGCTAAAATGGATAGTACTGCATTGTTTTGCTTCATTTTCACTGCAACTAAGAATAATTCAGATTTAGCAAAGTTGTAGTTCATAAGATTTAGAGCAGGTTCAATGGCATCGGGGTCGACTGACCCATTATTATAAGTGTGTTTTTCACTCTCCAGTGTAGTATGTTGAATGTGCAGAAGTAAAAATGTTAGTGTTTGTGGGAGTTCATCTAATCTGGGGACATGGAGACTTACTGTATTTCAAAATGATCCCAAATGTTGCGTATTCATAGAGCCCAAAAATTTTCGCTTGCCCTTTCAGCTGTGGAGCTCTTACTGAATCTGGGTTTATTTTTCAGGCAGGAAGTCCAGACAAATTGCCTAAACACTAGAGCTCAGCCCATCGTGACAGTCAGGAAATGATTTCATGTCAGTTTTTAGCAGCGTGATTAATATTGATGGTGTTGATGAAAAGGGAAGTGGGCTATGTGTTACTGGAGCTTTCGGTTCCTGTAAATCTTTCAACATTTTTCCATCATTTTAATCAGAGAAAAAGGCTCCAAAACCTTTTGGGGAACTGGACCACAAATAAAATAAAAATGGAAAGCAATGAACAAAGAGCAGAACATAAGAATGTTGAAAGTTAGAAATGTTAAGCTGAACACCAACAAACACAGTAATACTAGAATGTAAAGACTGACTGGTAGAAATCAGAGTACTACTGCACAGAAGAATAAGTTATATCTGGCTGAGTATACACACTGTAGTAAGATATAGTTATTGTTGGTTTGGGTCTTTTCATGGGAATTGTTGACAATTAGAAAATATATGAATAATCACTTGCCTTAAAGCCTCAAAAACACCTAGTGTTTGAAGAACCAGGAGCAGGAATAGAAGCATCTGTACAGTGTAATATGGTCTCATACAAAACCCCTACAACAAAACTAAATTTGTAAAAGTTGCTTGTTTACATGAAATAAGTGAAATTATTACAGTTTGCAGATAATCCCAATATTGGTAGACTGCTGTTGAAGAGTCTCCTCAACAAGATGTGACTGGGATATCCAAGGCTCACCAGCAAAATGAATCATTGCTTATTTTTGTTCAATTTGAATTACTGCCGACTATAAAATTGACGGTTCTGTGGTTCGGTTCAGTGACAAAATCTGTGATTCACTTTTATCAATATTACAGTATCCATTGTGTATCAGATATAGCATTGCATAATGATCCAGGCCCATGTGACTACATCTTGTCGGATGTGCCCTAAAGAGCATGACAATGAGGAGCTGACATTCAGGTGCCACAGAAAAGATAGTGAAAATGTGGAGAGATCAACTGGACATTATTTCCATCAGACTCATCCAAAATCATAACGCTAAACTATGCACTCCTGCAGACCCCTGGTGTAATTCATCCTATGAGAGCCAGGCATACATTCGAGCCCTTCAACTCTATCGACAGGACAAAGGATGCTATGAATCCTGGGAAATGATGCTGGGAACGGAGGAACAAGTCAGCAAACACACACACACACACACACACACACACTCTTCAGCTTTGCGTTTTCTGTGGTATTTTGTCCACTTACTCAATCATATGTCTGCAATGTGTAGGTGCTGGCCTGCCAGGTGATGGAGGAAGTGCTGCCATGGTTACAGAGTCAGCTTCAGTCCAGAGTGAAGGGCAAGAAGACTGAAAGGATACGACAGTGGTTGGCAGTGAGTTCAACTAGTACACCTGGACCTAGTGTTCACCAGCTCTGGTGCTCAGTAAACACAAACATTAGCAAACTGTCTGTTGACTTGGGTCACATGTCCAGAAACACAGCTCCATCATTTTGTATCGTTACTGACAAGTGGCACATAGCTCTAATGTTTGAGTGTTTCAAAATGTGAAGTTTGCATTTTGGGATGTTTAACAAACAGGGTGGGACATGGCATGTTTAAAAGATTTTGTTTATTCAGTGCGGAAATGTTTAACCACACTATATAGACTAAAATGCAGAAGGTCAATATAATACATTAGATAATAAAAATAGGTAGTGATTTTGGACACACCTTCACACTTTACTGTATCTCCTTTTAGTTCTGATGTTAATCATATAACTTTAATTTCTGGTGCCTCACTTTCCAGAATTTACAGTAAATATTAATCTAATTACACATTTTTCCATACAAACTTAATGGTCTTCTGTACACATCACTCTGTTTTATACCATTAAAATGTTTTAAAACACAACCGAGACAGATTTAACACAGTCTTTGTCACTCAGGGTTTTATGGTATGGTGTGATTGCATGTTTAGACGGTGCAGGGAACCTACACGTTGGTGCTGGAGCAGATTACAGCAAGTCTTGAGGCTTTAAGGGAGAAATGTCGTCAGACAGCATCAGCCAATCAGGCGCTCATCAGATCCAACCTGGACCAGATAATGTGCTCTCATCGCTTCCTGGAGGAAAAAGTCAGAGGTAATCTGAACACACCTAGAAAATGAATGCATTTCAGCTGCTTCTGAAAGGCAAGCACAGTGCTGTGCATCTGTAGTTACAATCTGTTCTTCCTGACTGATAAGTTACCCAGTAATTTCTAAAAAAAAATAAAATAAAAAAAAGTCACTGTTAAACATTTTGTGTCTCTAAAGTGAGTGTGTGTGTGTGTGTTCCAGTGTGTATATGTGAAGAAGCAGAGAAAGTGTGCAGTGAGATTGTAGTACCCTACATGTCCTCCATCCTTGAAGCACTTACAGAAAACATAAGCGCAGGGATTCAGAGGATGCGGCAGACACTGCACACACAGATGGACTCAGCTTTGACACACACAGATGAAGGGACAGAGGAGACAAAGAAGGTGAGTGAGACCTTTGACTTTGTTGATTAACCATTCGTATCATATTTGATACGTGAGGTTTCTGAGCAAAAAAAAAATCACCAAAAATGCCCCATGTATCAAATGTGATACAAAAGAAATAGAAATAATCTAAATAATATGGCACCTCTATTCCTATATGCCTGGACTGTCTGTCTATGCATATATGGCAAATAAAAATCGTGAATCTTGAATTTCGAATCATGAATTATATTTTGGATTTTGTTATAAGGTTTAATAAATATCTCAGTTCCAAAAAGTTAGAATGTTCACGCTATTTTCAGATATGTTGGGCTTTATAGGGTTAAGAGTCTGTGGTTACAGAAGAGTTTACAAGTTGTTTTGGTGAGTGTGGTTTTATCTGTGTGTGTGTGTGTGTTCTTCAGGCCTTGTCCACTCTATGCGCTACCAATCTGGATCAGTGCTACAGGCAGGTGAAGAACCTGACAGAGAAACTTGAAAGCTTAAAACAGCGGTTTGGACTGAGCAGTGCTCAGAGACTGGTTGACTCTGCACAGCTGGAGATGGAGCAGGTAGGAACTAGATCTGGAGGATCAATCATGGGCATCAGCAACTACTGTACACCTACTGTAGGGCCTTTTGAGGACCTGAAGCAAAACAGAAAAAGGTCAAAGGCTACAGTCACAGAGAGACATTGTATTTGTTGTTGTGTCTTCCAGCTGTTGGACAGTGCTGTGTACACCTTAGAGCTGTTCCTCCAATCATCAGCCAGACTACAGCCTTCTCAGGTCCCTGTCAAGATGGAGAGAGCTAAAGAAAGAGTCCTGAAGGTAAAGTTATTTTCAATGCCTACCCTTCCCATGTGCAGTCTGTGATTTGTGTGTGTTAAGCAAAATCTTAAAATGTTCAACTGTGTGTGAGCAGCAGCTGGACTATGACAGCAGAGTTGTCCAGAGGAGGCTCTATCAGGAGGCCCTGCTGGAGATCACTCTGCCAGCTCTCACCAGGAGCATGGACAGCAAGTGGAAAACTGTAGGTCAAACACACTGCTGAACTCTGTCCTACTGTCTCATTGTGGTCTTTTGTCTCTACAAAGTATTAAATATGTTTTCTGTGTCCAGGAGCTGCAGCAGTTTGAACAGTACATTTTCTCTGACTACAGCAGTTTTATCCTGGTTCATAATGTCTATGACGATGTACTGAGAAACATCCTGAGTAAAAAGATAGAGACAGGTACACACACACATCTCATGTATCCTGAGTAAAAAGATAGAGACAGGTAAACACACACACACACATCTCATGCTAACACACAGCACTCATCTTAATCTAGTAATCTTCTTCTATGTCAGAGCTTTGCACAAAAAAAAGTGACAGCACCATAAACATCACAGCGGTTTTTCTATTGTACTTTTTTTTAAAGTATGTTGTTTGGATTCATCATTGTGTCAACACGGTTCTGACATTACTGACATTAAATGGCCACAGCCTTCTAATCAGTTTTTCCACATTTTCTATATTTTTTTTCTACAAATGTTCTCTCTTTACATGATGGTAGCACATTATTGCTAAGAATATAATTCTTTCTTTATGTTTTTTGGCCTAAAACATTTAAGAACATGGACACAACCAGGGACCCTGTGTATCATTAAACCCCTTCAGTTAAACCATTCTGAGTACATGAACCTGGTGTCGTCAACAGTAGCTAAATAATAAATGTAAAAATGAATACACCTTTTCTTTCATTTTCACTTTCCAATCCTAATTTTTAACTCTGCTTTAACTCTGTTTTCCTTCTCCTCAGTGGTCCAGGAAGCTGCCAGCAGGAAGAGCAACAATCTCTTACTGGACACTTCAGAACTGGCCATTAGTCAGTGCAGTCTGCTGGGACACACACCCCCACGCTCTCCACCAGCCAGCCCAGCTACTCGCACTCAAGATTCCTCCTCAGTCATGCCCAGTGAAGAGAAAGAATCTGTTCCGGTGGTGGAGGAGGGAGGTCCTCAGACTGACCCAGAACTTAACGCTGATGCTAAATCTGATTCCAGTACCGCTCCAAGTTCTGACAAAAGTACAGTGCTTCTGTCTCCTGTGATTGCTGTGACACAACAGGTTCATGAATTATCAAGGGAGGAGATTTCTTGCTCCAATGGGACCTCTGAAGAAGTTCAGCTTGCACCTGAAACAGCTTCAATGAGCGACTCAGCCACAGCTGAATCTATCCCAGAACCTGAAAATCCTGTTCCAGACTCTCATGACTCTTCAGCATCCACTTTGTCCTCACTGCCGTTCACAGATGGCCCAGCTAAATGTGCTCAAAGTGACCAACCTGCAGCACCAGAAACTTCTGCTTCCTCACATCAAATATCTGAGGCTGCTCCTTCTGTCCAGCCCTCCTGCCCTTCCCCAACACAGCCAACAGATAGTGCAGTGACAATCAGCCTTGGTTCACTAAGTGAGGTGGTTAGTTGCAACTCCACAGCACAGCAGATGATGGCACAGACCACTGACCAGGCCATCTACTTGACAGAAGAAATGAAAGACAACGGGGAAATGGAGAGGGCAGAAGATGAACAGAAAGAGGCAGCAGAAGAGGTGAGTGAGGGGAAGCTGGATGATGAAGAAAAAGGTGATGAGCTTGAGAAAAGAAAAGCAGATGATGAGGATGAAGCAGAGGGGAATGGAGATCATGCAGAAAACAAAAAACAGGAAGGGAAAGTGGAGGAGGAGCTTCTCCAAAGCCATGAGGTGGTGGAGTCCCAGCCAGAGAGTTGTGTGGAGCTGCCACCGGGCAGTGTGGCTTTCATCAGGGAGCTTGTAACAGAAATCACTGAAGTGGAGATAGTGGTCAGCTCCCATCCTAACAGTAGTGACACAGCCTGACACGCTACCATGACAACTGCAGATACAATGAACCCACATCTACTTCACAATTTCTTATTAAACAGAACAAAGAATAAGAAGGTGACACAGAGGAATGAGAACAAAGAAGGTTCAACCCATTTCGGTATTACTGCATTACATTTTATATGATCACATTATGAAAATGACAACAAATCCACATTTTGTATTAAGATAAGTTTTTAAACAAGAGACTTTTTTACTTTTGCTGTTAACATCTCCTGTGCTGTTCTGTTTATACTGAAATGAATTAAATAGCCCAATAAAGACATTAAAACTGATCAGCTTTGTTTTTTTGCTAACAGTGGGATAGAGGACAAACTGAAATCTCTCATTTACAAAAGAATTCAGACTCTTAATTCTGGGCTTTGTAGAAGCCCCCTTGACTGCAAGTACAACTTTTATTCTTCTGAAAATCTCGACAAGCTTTGCACAGCTGGATTTGGGCAGTTTGTCCAAGATACTTCCTTGAAATACTTTCTCCTTATAACAACAAAACTTTCTCATTAAAATGAGGAAGTTTTGTCATTTTGCTCTAAGGAGATATAGAGTACATTTTTTATTTTTCATGGTGGCAGCAATGTGCTATTGCATTTACTGGTCTTGATATGAATCTGTTATTGTAGTTTGTGAAACTTAGAAACACAAGTAGGCTAATTAGTTGTTCATCTGTTCAAGCAGTGGTCAACAGTGCTTGGCTCTGCCCACAAAGGTCTGTGGAAGCTCAGGTCAAAGTTCAACAGATTTACAATTTCAGTGTGCTCCCGCTCTGTTCTCCACACTGGACAAATGTGAAGCACACCACACACACAACACTTTTTTGCAGTAATGTAAATATGGCTTAAGCCTGTGTGTCTTTTTATGACCTGGAGTCAGTTCAAAATCTCATAATATGGGCATAAAATCCAGGATGCAACTGTGAACACAGTAGCCGTCCCTGGTAGGCTAGTGGTTAAGGCGCAGCACTCTCGCCGCTGCGGCCCAGGTTTGAATCAGGGTTGCGTCAGGAAGGGCATCAGGCGTAAAACACGTGCCAAATGTCAACATGCGAGTTGTCAGTGTGAGGATTCGCTGTGGCGACCCCTAAACGGGAAAAGCTGAAAGTGACTTTCTTTTAACTGTGAACACAGTATGATATTTAAAAAAGTCATCATAAAATGTGGGCTTTTTTTTTTTATTCAAGAACCTGAAGGTGACCGTGACAGAGATGGAGTATAGTCTAATACATGCTTCTGATTACAGCGTCTCAAGCAGCAATAAAGTCAGCTGTTACAAAAATGCTAAAATATACATAAATTAACAATAACAGAAAAACACAAAGTGTTTATATGTGCAAATATGGCTCAAAGTAACATTGTGTAGCTAACTGCCATTGTCCTGCAAACACAGTATGTGTGATCAATGTAGGCTGGTCAATAGCAAAACATATTTTTGGTTTTAAATGTGATGCTGCTCTGACTCACATACACACACACACTCAGACATGACGCTGCTGTTTGTTGGCAGTAAGTGTGATGTTCAAGGAAACTCTTTTTTTCCTTTAACCAAGCTAGTTTAGGTATGTAAACATTGAAGTATCTAGTTGTAGGCCTTGGTGCTTCTTTAATTCGACTAGTCAGTTAGCAAAATCAAGTTGCAATGGTCCGTGGCTCTAATACAGGAAACAATGACAGTGAAAATCATTTCTACTGTACCCTGGCAAAAACAGCCATAAACATAAAACCATATCAATTAAGTTGGCACAATGATGTCACAATGGTAAAACAGGGAAATATGTACAACAACAACAACAACAGAATGACCGTATCAGAGCACAGTGACCAGAACAACCTCACTGCCCTCTTCTCTACCCCACATACTAAAACAGCAGGTGTGGCCCAAATAGTTGTGTCTAAGCACACATATTCAGACCACTTTGGTATTTTCACACTTTGTGTTGTAGGTTTAATTGTAAATAGATAAAATTGCCCTTTTTATGCTTCAAATCAACACACACCAATCTGCCACCACCGTGCTTCACTGCTAGGAAGGTATTAGCAGTGGTGAACCCAAACACTGTGCTTGGCAGCCTGCAAGGAGCTGGAATCTTTGTCTCGCTGGACCAGAGAATACAGCCACTCACTGCTGAGGTGCTCGTCCTTCCAGCAGACTCTCCTCCTCTGCTAAGGACTTCTGAGGTGCTGTTCCTGAGTCCTGGTGGTGCAAACATTTCTATAAACCTCTTCACTTTGGTACTGTGTTTTATTGAGTGCAGACTGGTGGGCAAAATGGCAATTGTGTTCATTTAAAACCACAACACAAAGTGTGCAAAACAGTGAAGGGGTCTGAATACTTTCTGGAGCCAATGGAAGTAAACCCTGGTACAGTATCTGGCTCTGCACCCGGGTTTGAGCTACGCTGCTGCTGTGAAAACACCCTATATTATAAACATCACCAACATTTTAAAGTAACATTGATAAAACTAAGTATGTACATTGTAGTGCATGTTAATAACATGAGTGTAACTTTCAACTCATATGGCTTAGTATACTGACACAGTTCATCAGGGTCAAACTAACACATCTCCAATTCCTCAACAACAGAATGGTTTTTCAGTCAATATGAAGAGGCAACAGTCACTTACATACAAAAACATGTAAACAATATTCATATTTAAATTATTTGCGGTCCCACTCAATATTAGAAAACTGTAATGCGTAAGGAAGACTTAACTACTAAACTGTTCAACTTGACGGTGAATTAATGAAATGGATAATAAATGATGACTGCCTGGAACTGCAGTTCATTTCAACTAGTTTATTAACAGCAGTATTACGGTGTCAGTCCACAGCATTTCTGACCATTGTCTTACCAGTGTGGTGCTTTCAAATTCAGCCATGACTAAGGGATTCTAGCAATGAAAAACCAGACTAAAGACATAAGAGTGGCCATGCAGGCTGCGGATAGGAAGTTGGAACTAGGAGTGCGTGTGTGTCTATGAGTACTGGTAAAAGGGCTGTTCGTCAGGTCTAAAGCCGTAGGCAGTGGCTGGTCGTCCGGGTGATGAGCTGGTCTGGTCGAATAAATCATTATTGTCTCTGCAAAAGAAAGCCAGTCAAATTAACACAGCTTGTCACTTTTATCATGGGGAGAAACTGAGACTAGACAGAAAGAGCAGTAATAGGCCTAGAGGACGCCCTCATGAGTCTGGAGGAGAAGGAATAAGAATTTGGGTACAATTTCAAATTCAGATAGATATACACTACCTGACCCTCAAACCAGCTAATCCTTCTTTAGTTACTACAGACTGACCTCAGGAGTCTGCATGTGCAAACACACACACACACACACACACACAAACATGCAATGTCTGGTACCATAGAATGCCAGTGCCTAGTAATCTGTTCTTATGTCTCTGCAGTGTGTTAGCTCACCCTGTGTTGTCAAAGTCTCCATTCTGAGCCAGAGGGTCACTGAAGAAATCTGGACTGCCTGAACCATCTGCTGGAGTTATTCCATCTGCACACACACACACACACACACACACACATGCACATGAGGAAAATGTACACACATTTGTTGATGTTACAGGTAGTGCTTGGATTTCATACTAGTGTTTCCTTCCTTTACACTTCTCGTGTGTTCTCCTTGTGCATGGCAGCTGTGGTATTTCTGATATTTTCAGCCTGCTGAGGAGGAATGTGGTCAGTTACTTCTACATGAATCTTCAGATTAACTGTGAAAAACAAAATGTACAGAAACCAGTTCAATGATCTGTAGGTACGTACACAGTGCGGCTAAAGCCTTAACTGAAATTCTTGAAGTAAACCTGATAATTCAAAATACAAAATAAAATGACCTGCAATGCATGTCACCCTTTTTGCAGTGCGTTTTTCTGCGTGCACAGTTCAGGCAGGGTCTTGTGTGTACAGTACCTGTGCTATAGAATAGATCTGTCCCTTTCATTATCATACAGATATGGTTCAGACTCACCATCCTGGCGACTCTCGGCCATCACCAACCACTGGTTGTTGTGGAATCGAAACTTCTCTGACTGAATCTTCCTCCCCCACTCCTCATCATACTCCTGGAAGATGAAGAAAACAGGTAATAAATGAGTGAACAGCCTACAGACAGACAGGGATGTGTGTTTCTTCTTATTATTAAAGAAATGATTTTGTCCTGATGTTTTACATGTGTTACAGTTGCTACTCTGTCTACACCAGCAACATGTACAGTATTTCACTTACAGCAATAATATCAAGGGTGTTGTCACACACTTTTCTAATTTCTGTGTTCTTGTCGTGCATCAGATCTATCAGGTAGGCTGGAGCTTCTAGAGAGGACGTTAAAGAAAAGTCACGGAAATCTTTCCAGGGTGATGGTGTAAGACTTCAGTCTATGCAAACGGTCTCAGCTCAACTAAAAGATTCTCATTAATGTTTACATTTATGGTAACAGAGTGCATTGTGGGAAGGATACGGGTGTCTTTGATGATGACGTCTCGTGTGGCTTGGTGAAAAACCATCTGATAGAAGACGTAGACAATCTGACACACAAACTCATCATCCTCCTGTTTGGCTACAGCGAGCCAACAGAAGAACATGTGGGAAGCAGGTTAATACTGGTTATTTCATGAACGTTACCTTTTAGCAGGTATCAAGTAGTACCTGTGAGCAAGTGTCTGAACATTCTAAATCTCATAGGGTGTGTAAACATTTACCAAACAGGGTTCATGACTCTATAACACAACATTTTGAGCCAAACCAAAGGTGTGTGTGTTACCATTGAGCAGCTCGATAAGGGCGGGAATAATGCCAGACTTAGCCAACATGGCGGCACAGGCGTCATCCATGGAAACTGTTCCAATCATTAGCACCACCTCTAAGATGAGGTCATCCTCGGCTGAGCCTGAAACACACACAAGATGAAGCTTTATGTTTGTGATTTAGGCTGCTGTTGTAGAACACAAGCTGCAGCCAAAAAATTACAAATGATGGAGGCTTTTAAACACCAGAACGAGCACACCGAATGGGTTTGATTGCCATTCACTGTAGAACAGTTGATCTTGAACCTTGAACTGAGGTTGAAATGAATTTGTGGAGATTAAAATCCCAATTATGATATGTCAGATGAGATCTTTTTAATACACACAGTAACATCAAGATCATGTTTGTCAATAAAGACTCAAATTGAGCTGTTTAAGAGTTGTAAGAAAAATATGTCTCAAGGAGGTTATTTTAGATCACAGTGACCAAGAGGCAGTACAGGGAGAAGCTGAATGGCTTCTACTCTACTGCTGACCCCGGTCGGATGTGGCAAGGCCTGCAGCACATCACAGACTACAGGACCACCACCAGCATCATCAGCTCCACAGACAGCCTGCCGGATGATCTCAACACCTTCTACACCCGCTTTGAGACCTCCAGCCACAGCACAGAGGGGAGGCACACACACACCGAGACCACCCAACCCCCCCAACTCCCCTCCACTAATTGTCTCACTAGGCCATGTACGCACAGTCCTGAGGAAGATCAACCCCCGCAAAGCGGCAGGACGGGACAACACCCCCTGGGAGGGCTCTCAGGGAAGATGAGAAGATGTTCTCACCACCATCTTCAACCTGTCCCTCAGCCAGAGCATTGTTCCCACCTGCTTTAAGACCACAACCATCGTCCCCCTTCCCAAGAAGA